CAGCCAGTGGGATGTCCCAAGGGGGAGGAGGGGGAGGAGGGGGAGACGGGCGCTTCACATCATGTTTTCTCCTGCAGGCAACAGCTCAGTTTTCCTGCTGATGTCGAGTCCAGCTCACCGGAGCCTTATTTACCCTGTCGACATGCGACCGTGCCGTGACTGTAACATGACATTAGGCTTGTTTGGGATGAGCCAGGCCTTCGCAGAATCAATCACTAGTGATCACTGCACAATGCATGCTGGTAAAATTTGTGTACGACTTCATTCCACCTTGCTCAAGTGGACAACGATAATCTCACGAGACGGAGGCGTGTCTGACTGATGTGTAATAAAAGCAGTTGTGTTGTATAAAATATGAAGCTTATAGTGTCAGCTGGGATAGGCTCCAGCCCCCCGCAACCCTCAAGAGGATGAAGCGGTTAGAAGATGAATGAATGAATGAATGAAGCTTACAGTCACAGTGTATTCAGCCTGTGTAGTTGAGGCGACAGGTCACACTGATCTGATGCTGACTGAGTTCATGAACATAAATTACAGATCACCTGTAAAACATTTTAATAAATAAATCAATAAAACAATTGGAGACTGAGAACAAACTGATAAATGGGTCTGATAACATTTTAAGAAATCGACATCAGCTCTGACAGGATGTGAGTGTTCCTGTGACTTCCTGTACGGGCTGAGAAAACTGGCGGGAAACTGTCTCCGCCCCCTGCTGCAGTTGCCCCCCTTTCGTCCACCTGCCAGATGAGGCGCAGTCCGCACCGTCCGCTGCTCTGGACTCAGCCCCCAGGAGAGACCACCGATCCCCGGTGTTAAAGCCCTGCTCAGAGACTCCTGTGATGACGGCGCAGGTGCAGGACAGAGCTGGAGCTTTATCCGTTCTTGGAGTGGACCAGTCGGGGTCACTGTGTTTCCTGCTGCCGCAGCCGGAGGAACTCCGGGCGGGAAGGTGTTAAGCCTCAGCAGCCAGAGCTCGTCTTTCTCATAGACATATATACATGACGGTAAGCGGATATGACGACTCTCAGGTGAAACACACACACACACACACACACACACACACACCAATGTTAGCGTAGCAGGAGCCAGGCTAAAATCAAAGCTAACAAGCTAGCAGCAGTGAGACTAAAAACTAATAATTTCAATAACAAAAAGTTCTACATACTGCGCTATAAATTTATAATGAATTTTTATGTATAGTTTTTGACACTATACTCAACATCAATGAATTTGAAAGAAAAACTTTTATACATACTATATCATCAATTTTCAAAAAAAAAAATGGCACACTGTACTTTGACTTCATAATGAAATATACTATATAATTGCTTTTTAGTGATTTAAAAAAAATAACTTACTACAATGACTTTTTAATGAATTTTTCTTACATTTAGACTCTACTGATTTTTGATGAAATATATGACTTTACATACAATATTTTGTCTTGACTCAAACTATTACAAAAAAGTATATAGTATAAAATATATAGGCTACATTACATTGTCGCACTGAAACACAACATCCCCTCACCAAAACACAAATGAAATGATGGGGGGGGGATTACAAGAAAGACACCGGCTGCAGTAGTGAAAAGAAAACATAGTAGGCTAGGCTGAATAAAAAGCACATTCAGGCTTAATTGTTCATTTTTTATCCCCACTAAATATAAGGAAACATTGCTTGCTTTGTAGCTTACAGAGAAGTCCTGATGTGTCGAGCAGTCGGAGCTGTTAGTGCTGAAATCTGACCTCGTTTAGTCCAGCCATAGACAATGCAGGCATTTTGTTTACATCTGAGATGATGCTGCGCCATCTAGTGGCCATAAACCCTTTGATTTAGGCAATGTTGAAAAAAGTGGAAAAGTAAATTATACAAAAATAATGAATGAATGAAAAATGTAAGGTATTTGGTATTCGGCCTAATGTTTCATTATTGTTCAGCTTCGGCCAAGAAATTTCATTTTGGTGCATCCCTACATAACAGTTAGCCCTATCCGCACAGTAGCCTATTACATGGGGACCTCAGGTGATTTAATTTTGGAGGTCGTCTGTGCTCTTAGTCCCAGTGAGTCGGCCATGTCCAGTTCGCAGTTACAACTATACTGTGAAGTAGTGAAATAAAAGACAAGCAATTATGTTCAAAACGTACACAGACCCATTATGATTTATTATGCAGTTATTGTTTTATTGCTATGAATTTATAATTACATTATTTTGTATAACTAACTATAATTATGTTTAAGTTGATCAGCATACCATACTAAGACTTTATAATACATTTTGAATTCATTTAATTTATTAAGCATACTTTAAATGAACACAGAATGACTTTTAATGATCATTTCTGACATTCTTGACTATGATTCTTTAATGAAATTTTCATGACATACATTATTGTCTTTTTGATTTAATTTCTACAAAATATTATTAGTATACTAGTATACTTTTTTTAAAAAAATAAAAAATTCTGACATACCATACTATACAGAAGAAAGAGCAATTAGGAGGGTTGATGAAAAATCCTCTGTTGCCCGACACGTCAGAGATGCTAACCATCCTGTTTCCTCTCTCCTCTTCTGTGTTTTTCAGCAGATTAAAACACCGCGTAGGGGAGGTGATATGGAACGTCCTCTTCTACAGGCAGAGTGTTAACGGATATTCTATCTCCAAACTCAGTGTGTGTGTGTGTGTGTGTGGGGGGGGGAAATGTTTCTTTCTGTATTCTATACATTTTGAAATTGCTAGTGTTAATCTAGAGATAATCTAAAATCAGGCTTCTTCTTCTCTTAGTAATCTGCTGTGCTGTGTTTTTGCAACAATAGCTTTAGATATCACACATCCTTTGAGTATCTGGACTTGTGGCCCTGTAACATGGATGGGTCCATTCACTGATTGACTCTGCCTCTAATCTACAAATAGAGCACAGGTGTGTGATTTGCCCTTTAGGCAGACTGAGGATGGCTGTGTAGCTGAAACGTTTTCACCTGTTATCTTTTCTGTATATTTTTGATGGACCATTAAACATGGAACTTTGACATCCATCAACCTCTGGAGTGGACGTTCCATTTACCTGATCAGTGTGCGAACTTTTCTTGGTTTCTTCTTGACATACCATACTATGACATTTTTACAGTATACATTTTTTGACACACTATACACTTTTCAATTTGATTTTTTATGACAAAAAAATTAACGTGACTTTTTTTCTGAACTTTTTCCAATGAACATGAGAAATACTATACAAAAACCTTTTCTTAATTTTTAAATATACTAATCTATAATTTTTTTGTATTGAAATTTACATACTGTATTTATGTATTTTTTTTCCTGACATACTATACTATGACTGATTGAATTTTTTTTTTTACAACATACTAGAATATGACTTAAGTTTTTGGCACACTAAGACTTTTTCATTAATTATTTATTAATTTTTTTAGATGGTAAAATATGACTTATTTATACTATGACTTTTTATAACAGATCTTATAACAATTTTCCATGTACTATACTGGGTTTTTTAATGACATTTTTTGACATACTATACTATGATTTTATAATTAAATTTTGACTTTTTGATTACATTTTTTCAACTTTCTACAGCACAACTGTGGTAATGAAACTTTTGACATCCCGTACTGTAACTTTATATAGTGTTTGGCACACTATACTTAAATAGACTTAAATTAAAAATATTTAATGACATTTTATATTGATTTTATAATGACATGTGTATAATTGTATAATTGTTGACGCTATACTGAGTTTACAAAGAAACTTTTACAACATGCCATACCTTTGTAAACAAAATTTTTTACAACCAATTTTTTTTTTTTTATTTACTACTTCCTATGCTGTGACTTTGTAATTTTTTTAATGACAAACTATGGTATGACTTTTATTTAAAAAAAAATTACACTGAATTTATGCCATTTTTACAACATACTATTGTGTGACTTTTTATTAATGTTTTTGACATACACTATGATTTGACATTTTATAAAATTCTTACATAAAACATACTATATTATGACTCTTTAAACAAAACCTATTATACTATGTTTAATAACGCCACAGACAAACTTTCATTCATCTTTATTTTCACCGAAGAGAAAACATGCCACACAAACGGACACATGTAAAAAAAAAAAAAAAAACCTCTTCACATCGGGTGATGTCATTGTGACAGGGAGGGGGGGCGGGGTCAAGGGTCATTTCAAGGCACTATTTATTATATGAACATAGAAACAGGTGAGAGGTCAGAGTTCACTTTGAGCTACAGAGATCAATACTGTCAATACGATCAATAATGTCATCAGAGTCAGTGAGAGGGTTGGCTGCTGTCAGAAAGCCACAGTGTGCTCGTCTAAACCAAAACTCATCATCATCATCATCATCATCATCATCAAGGAGGTTCAGGAGTCTTAGAAGTCTCTGATCAATTATCAGTAAGGGACAGGAAGTGAAGCAGGAAGTGAGGAAACAGTCTGTTAAATAGAAACTCGGCAAAAGTCAACAGAATCTGTAAAAACAGAAAATCTGTAAAAAACAAACAAAAAATCACAGAAACAAACACAAAGAAAGAAACAACAGAGAAACAAAAATCAGTGAAGATAATTATCAGAAATAAATCAGCAGTTACAACAGAAACAGTTTGAGAAGAGTTTGGAGGGAAATTACAGCTCGACTGAACCTCTGACTGCTGGGTGCTGAATCCAGACCGACCAACATGACATTTTACAGAGAACACGTATGTGTGAATGTGTCGGACAGACGTGTTTGTGTGGACAGAGTTCTTTGATTATTGATAATCATTAGACAGACAGAGCAGACGGCAGCAGGGCTGTCACTGCGACACGCAGCACTGATCGTACTCAGAAAACCTTCTGATTCAGACAGAATCAGTCGAGATGATAATTTCCAACATGAAGTCAACGCAGAGAAATCTAACACTCCTCAACATGATGTGTGTTTCTAAGTGTGTACATCTGTGTGTGTTTATGTGTGCAGCCATGCGTGCTGCAGACACTGCGCTGCCGTCGCTCTGCGGTCAGGCTGCAGCTCCAACATGGTCAACAGGAAGTCACTGAACTGAGCCGCCTGATCCAGCGGCCACTCGTACTTCTCCAACAGCACCTCGAACAGACCCCACGGCTTCAGGCTGGAGATGTGACGCAGCTCACCTGAGACAGGTACACAGACAGGTGATACAGGTACACAGAGAGGGAGAGAAGAGCAGACAGACAGATGGACACACAGCCTGTCTTACCTCTCCTGTTGAAGTACTCTCTCGAGTACCTTCCAGACAAAGCAAAGGGCAGAGGAATCGGTCCGAGCAGCTCGATGACGTGAGCGATGTGATCTGAACACAGAGAACAAACGCACACTGAGTTCCTCTCTGATACCCTGCAGCAGTGTGTCTGTGCTGTCAGACGGCAGTGGTGTGTGTAGTATGCTGTGTGTTATGATGTGTAGTACCTTCGTCTCTGGTGTAGTCTTCTCCTGAATGAGGTTCAAACAGATAATCTCCTGTCGCCAACTCGAACGCCTGAAACATCATTACATCAATGATCAATACAGTTTTTCCAACATGCTATAGGATTACTGATTTTTTTACGTCTTTTATGAAAAATCTGACACACTATACCGTGACTTTTTAGCAGTTTATTTCGACATACTATACTATGACTTTTTTAGCAGTTTTTTCGACATACTATACTATGACTTTTTAGCAGTTTATTTCGACATACTATACTATGACTTTTTAGCAGTTTATTTTGATATACTATACTATGACTTTTTTTCGACATACTATACTATGA